GAGGAGAACCACCGCAGAACGGTGCCCCCCACTCCCAACCCCTCCAACCGGCGCAGCAGGATACCATCGTTGATGGTATCAAAAGCTGCTGAGAGATCTAACAGGACCAGGATAGAAACCCTGAAACCCGACTGGAACGGATCCAGATAAACCGTTTCATCCAGGTACTGGGGAAGCTGTCGCGCCACCACACTCTCAACAACCTTCGCCACAAAGCGAAGGTCGGAGACTGGACGATAATTTGCTAACACTGCCGGGTCCAGGGAAGGCTTCTTGAGGAGAGGCACAGTTGTGCCACTGTGCAATGTTCTTGCACAGGAACAAGAAGTTCAACTTCAAAGCCCAAGAGAAGGTATAAAAACTCTCCGCTCGCAACTCCATGTGGTCTCCTGCCCAGAATCACACCTGCTTGTTGGTTCTGCTTCATCAATAAATGGACCATATTTCCAATCAGCCTCCATTTTGTCGCCAGTGCCTTTCTCACGGCTTGGACCTGAACCCGGATATGTCTTCCAACAATACTATACTATATTATATTGCAGTTTGAAATCGGTGGAATGCCTTGAATTGTTGGGTGATTGTGATTTTCTGTTAAGATTTATTCTTTTCTTCTATATGCCTGTACCAACACGTCAAACAACTGGAGAAATTTCCCCTGTGCGGTCTCCAATTTGTCGGCAAGACCATGTCTCCAATCTAGATTGCGTAAAATCCATCAACATTGAGCCCCTGATTATTAGAAACCAGATAAGGTGGATGAGACATATGATCAGTATGGATGATCACTGTATGCCTCTCCCAGCTGTTCTATACAAATAGTCCTTGACTTATGACCGCAATTGAGCCCAAAATTTCCATTACCAAACAAGACATTGTTAAGTGAGTTGTGCCCCATTTTATGACCTTTCTTGCCACAATTGTTATGTGAATCACTGCAGTTGTTAAGTAAGTTGTTAAGCGAATCGGGGGTCCCCATTGATTTTGCTTATTGGGAGATTGGGAAAAAAAGCTGATCACGTGACCCCCCAGGACACTGCAACCGTCATAAATAAGAGTCAGTTGCCAAACATCTGAATTTTGATCACATGGCCACGGGGATGCTGCAACATTTGTAAGTGTGAAAACTGCTCACTTATTTCAGTGCCATTGTGTTGTGTCCTAGGCTCACTTAATCATGACAGGACACAATTAGTCTCAAACAAAACTATTTTATTATAACATCTGAGAATTACTTCATTCCCAGCTTAGTCCAAATTAATTCCAAAGTCCTTCGGGCTTATCACAAACCTTTTATCTTCTTTGGCACCCTGCCAAAGGCCTTTCTTGGCAAAGCCCCACAAAGTTCAGACACAAGAGACGCCGACTGGAAAACAGATTTAGCAACGTTGCCTTCCTACAAAGAGCCCAAGAACATTTGCTGCTCTTTAAGATTTATGGGACGGGCCAATCATCCCCTGGCCTTACTCCTGAGTCGTCCCTTTTGCTTCAGCTGCTCTTACCTTCTGGCAGCTCTGCGCATGCGTGCACTAGGAACAGGCTCCTCCTGTTCCTCTGCCTCTCTGCTGTCCGACTCTGGAGGCTCTGGAGTCCGCGCATCGCTCCCAGATGGCCCTGGCCCCATCTCTGCCTCCGAGGCTGAGCCCTTGTCCAGGCTTTCCCCTGACTCCGGGACTGGCCCATGTTCTTCCTCAGCCTCCTCACTGTCCGACTCCGCTGCTAGCTCCGCGGGCTGCTGGCGGACCACAACTCATTGTAACTTTGAACGGTCATTTAAAAAAATGGCTGTAAGTCTGTACCTACACACACACACAAACACACATAGACACAAAACACGTTTTTGTTTAACTGGATCGGATTCTTAGGAGAAAGCTGTTTTTAATTAGGCAATTCTATCCTACGCCCAAGCACAATGATTTCACTTCGGTGCAATGAATACCTACATGGTTTCTAGCACTTCATTATTTTCAACCACTTGACTGAAACGGTTTAGGATCTCCTGCTCGAGAAGGGGGTTGGACTAGAAGACCTCCAAGGCCCCGTCCGATCTGTCCCATCTCTGTTATTCTATGTTCTGTGTTGGAGGTTAAGATAACCACAAAGCTGCTTCGAAATGGCTTCGTCGTCCAAGAAACAGGACCAATCTTGAATGGTCTTGAAAGCAAGGGATCAAAATCAGCAGGGCTTTGTTTTTTAAATTAATGGCATCGGTGTCTCTTTTCAACAAACGAGGAGAAAGCGGGCTCGTGAATGCCGGCCTCGCGAGGAGAGCGATTTTGTGATGTTTTTTTCTCGCTGGCACCCACGGATAATTGATTGAGAAATGAATGAGGGCTGCTCACCTAGGCGCTGAAGCCTCCGGGGGCTGCTGTACGATTCCCACGCCTTTCCATCGAGTTTGCTGCAGAGCAAAACTCCCCGGTGGATTGAGCCCATTAGCAGAGTCATGGGTTGCTAAGCGCCTGCCTTCGAGAACATCAAATCATCGCTACCTTGCAGCCAGACATTGTTACGCGATTTCCCCCCTCCCCGCCAAACTCTGATAAACGGATGGCGCAGTCTATTCTATTCAAAACACAGGCAGCTGCCTCCGTGTTCTGTGATTCATCCTGGTACTTCAAGAGGGGGCCACAGCCGACACCTGCCAATCAAACCTTATGACACGCAGCATGACGGTTGAAGGCTCCAGGGATTACAATTCGAGTTCCACCTCGCCATAGTATCTTATGTACCCCCAACCATACTGGTCTCTATTTCCTCGTCACTGAGCATCCTCAGTCCTCTTGGAATTTCCTTTCTCTGGGCTGTCATATTTCAAAGAATTTATTTATTTATTTATTGATTGATTGATTGATTGATTGATTGGTTCGATTTATATGCCGCCCTTCTCCGGAGACTCAGGGCGGCTTACAATGCGTTAAGCAATAGCCTTCATACTTTTGTATATACCTGCTTAGTAGGGCTTTCGCCCCCCCCCAAGCGGTGTTCTTTTTTTTATACAAAGTCAGCTTATTGCCCCCACAATCCGGGTCCTCAGTTTACCTACCTCGGAAGGATGGAAGGCTGAGTCAACCTTGAGCCCGGTGAGATTTGAACTTGCAGTAATTGCAGGCAGCTGGTGCTACTTAACAGCGCTTTAGTCTGCTGCGCCACCAAGGCTCTGGTGTCCACCAAGGCAATTGAATGACATTTTGATTTATTTATCAGATTTATTTTTTTTTATCCCGCCTGTATGATATTATAAATAGCTCAAGGCAACAAGCATATTTAATATTCCTTTTCTCCTCCTGTTTTCCCCACAGCAACAACTGTGTGAGGTGGGCAGAGACAGAGGGACTGGCTCAAAGTTACCCAGCCGGCTTTCATGCCTACCATGGGACTTTAACTCCCAGACTCCTGGTGATTGGTCCAAAGTCACCCAGCCAGTTTTTTTTTTTTTAATTTGATTTATATGCCGCCCTTCTCCGGAGACTCAGGGCGGCTTAGCACATTTGCTAAGCAATAGCCTTCATCCTTTTGTATATTTATACAAAGTCAGCTTATTGCCCCCACAACTGGGTCCTCAATTTACCTACCTTAGAAAGGATGGAAGGCTGAGTCAACCTTGAGCCTTGGCGAGATTCGAACCTGCAGTAATTGCAGGCAGCTGGTTTTAATAACAGGGTGCTTTAAACCATTGTACTACCAAGGCTCCTATTTTTAGTTTTCACACCGAAGGCAGGACTAGAACTCACCATCTCTTTCTGATTGGTTCAAACTCACTCAGTTGGCTTTCATGGCTAAGACAGGACTAGAATTCACCGTTTCCTGGTGATTGGCCCAAAGTTACCCAGTCAGGAATTCAGAATCAGAATAGAGTTGGAAGGGACCTTGGAGGTCTTCTAGTCCAGCCCCCTGCTCAAGCAGGAGATCCTATACCAGTGATGGCTAACCTTTTTGTCATCATGTGCCAAAAGTGTGGGGGGGGTCATGTGTGCGCGTGCCCACACCCATAATTCTATGCACCCTGCCCCCCCATGCATGTGCACGGGACCCACCCATTTTTCGCCCTCCCCAGGCTCCAGAACCTTTCTAGGAGCCCCCCCCCGGAGGCCCTCCGGAGGCTAGAAATGGCGCATTTACTGACTTCCAGTGGGACCGGAAGGCCCATTTTTTGCTCTCCCCAGGCTCTAGAGTCTTTCCAGGAGCCTGGGGAGGGCGAAAATGGCCTTCCCCTCCACCCCGGAGGCCCTCTGGAGGCCAGAAACAGCCTATTTCCCTACTTCCGGTGAGCCCAGAAGGGCCGAAAATTGGCTGAGCTCGCGTGCCCACTGATCTGACTCCATGTGCCACCTGTGGCACGCGTGCCCTAGGTTCGCCATCACGGTCCTATACCATAACCAGAAAAATGGTTGTCCAATTTCTTCTTAGAAACCTCTAGTGATGAAACACCCACAACATCTGGTGGCAAGCTGTTCCACTGGTTAATTGTCCTCACTATTAGGAAGCCGGACTGGAATATAAATGTATTGTTAATAATAATACTCGGGGGCGCCACGTTGCAGAAGCCTTTCTCATTAAGGATGTCCCTGAGATCCAAGCAGGGAGAGGAGGTGCGAGTAACCATGGGAACGGATAACGATTTTTTCACAAAACCCGCCTCCGGGGGCCATTTCGACCAATGCTGACCCTCCGTGTGACGCGCAGGTACGCGACGTCAAAGACCTCGCAAAACCACGCCCTCTTCTTCTATTTTCCCAAGGCCTCTCTCTCTCTCTCTCTTCCCCACCTCTCTCTCTCTCTTTGGCGCCTGCGCACTACTCCTGCTGGCGTCACCCTCCTGCTCCTCCCGGCGGTTGGAGCGACGGGCGCTCGCGCCGGCCCGGCCCCACCCCCTTTCCTCGTCCCTCCAATCCGCGCGAGGCAGGGGCTGTTTCTTCCCCTTCGTGATTGGACCGCGGGCGAGGGGGCGGGCGGAGGCGGTCCGGCTGGGAGGCGGGGCCTAGCCTGAGGAGAGGCGGACGGCGGGCGGAGCCGGCATTGCCTCAGCGGCGCGAGCGAGCTGGTGTCGTGGCCGAGGTTGGGTTCGGAGCCGCTTCCCTCAGTCCCGCCCGGAGGAGCTCCCGCCGTCTCCCGGCCGCCGGCTGCTCCTTCCTACGCGCGTCGGGCCCGGTCCGTGACTGGAAAGGCCTAACTCTCCTCAGGCGCCTGAGGAGAAGGCCTGAGGCGGCGCTGCCCGTCCTCCTCCTCTTCCTCCCCCCCCACGAGAGTCACCCGGGGAGACCCGGCGGCGGCTCCTTCTCTCCTCCCGCTCTTCCTCCTCTTCCTCCGGCAGCGGTATCACCACCCCCATCATCCCCATCATGTCGGCGGGCGGGGATTTCGGCAACCCGCTGCGGAAATTCAAGCTGGTCTTCCTCGGCGAGCAAAGCGGTGAGTCGGCGGGGCGGCCAGTCCGGCCTTTGCCCTCCTGCCCTTCGGAACCGCGACGCCGATCGCCTCAGAGCGGAGACTACAACTCCCATGAGCCCCCGCGCGGGCAAGGCTGAGGGGGGGAGGGGTGGGGATGGGGGGAGGGGGGGGTGGGGTGGGGGAAAAAGAGCGCGGGGGCTGTTCCTGGGGTCGCCTCGCTTCGGTTCTGGCTCCCCTCCAGCTCCAGCAAGGAGACCTCGATCTTCTTCTTCTTCTTATTATTATTATTATTATCTTCATCATCTTCATCATCCTCATCATCTACTTCTCTCCTCTTCCTCATCCTCCTCGTTATTCTCTTGCGCTCTGATTTCTTCCTCCATCTGACAAACAAGGGGCGGGAAGGAAAATCAGATCCCCGGGTGGGGCCAAAAAGGATTATTGATCATTTTTGATTATTAATAAAGGAGGAACGATAATTTATTATTTATTTATTTATTCTATTTCTATACCGCCTTTCTCCAGTAGGACTCAAGGTGGTGTACAGTCAAGAAAATATATAGATACACAAACATCATAAAATTGCTAATTAAAATTATTATAACATAGTTTGGCCCAATTAAATAGAACCTAAAATTAGATAACATTTTAAAAACGTTCACATGTTCTTGGGGGAATTGGGGGAGAGGGAGGAGGAGGAAGGGTCTCGATCTGATCTGCCTCCTTCCCCCATCCTAAAAAAAAAATAAATCCTCCTCTTTTCCCCTCTCTCCTCCCCTCTGTATTAAGCCTTCTTTGCTTTCATTCTTCGTCCTAAAAAACCCAGGAGAGAAGCAGCCTGGAAAATGACCCTAATGCATGCATTCATTCATTCGTTATATTTTTATATATTTGTATTCAAAGGCTGGCAGGGGCGGCTGGACAGCCTGGCATTCCTTGCTGCTGGCCCATCATTCTTTGGACGGGGAGGGGGGAAAAAATCCTGATTTTAATCCAGATCAGGGTGTCAGGCCGCCCCTCTCAATGGATGTGTTTATTTCCAATTCTGAGGCTTGTACGCTGCATACTAAGCCAAAAACATGGCTGTTGGCAAAGTGTGTTTTGTGAATCCAGCTTAGCATGCTAATTGCACATCTAGTTGGCTGGGTTGATTCGGTAAACCGAGCTGAAGTAATGGGGGTTCTGTATTGTGTGATGTCTGAGCCTGTTTTGGTTTTCTCCGGAGCATCGGTGGCATCAAACTGGAAGCTAACACAAAAGATGGAAAAAAACACTGTCATTTTCTTTGGCTGCCTTCTCCCTGTCAAAATTCAGTTGCTAATTTGGAAACCCTGAGCATCAGAAATTCTAGCTATTTCTGATTTCGGGAGGAATTTTACTATTTCCTGGATCGGGGAAGTACTACATTTTTCTAATAGATCTTTTTAAAAAAATCTGTGACTAAGCTCCATAGAGACTTAGCTTTCCCAATTAATGGCATATTAAGATTTTCTGTAATTTCTTCTTTTGCAGGGAATAGATAAATCCTCAGTCAAGCTTTGAAACCTTTTGCTGAATTTAGTCTGGAATAATTTAGTAGTTTTAAATTCACCATAAGAATTTAGCTCGGATCTCCACCATAGGAAAATAGAAAGTGTTCTTTTAGGATAAATATATATAAATATATACTAACACTCAGTTCTATGCTGAGATTTTAATTTGTTGAAAGAATAAGAAGGAAAAAAATCAATGAATATATGAATATTATCTTTGTATTTTGGTGTACCTGTGCCTGATAGTGTTGATTGGGTTGAAAACTAGAAAGGAGAGCTTTTATATATTTTGTTGAAAGAATTATGATCACTAAATTTGTTAAGAGCTGAGCCTTTTAAAATATTATTTTGGTAAGCGCTGTAATTTACTGTTTGTCTGATTTGGTCCAGTTTCTTCAGTGGAAGAATGATAGGATCCATTAAGAAAAAAAAGGTAGATTTTCTCAACCATGACTGGAATTGTCCTTGTGGTATAGCATTGTGACAGGTCTGCTTGAATGTAATTGCCATCACTCTTTGAAAATGAACATTTCTATTAATGTCATGCTTCTAAAGATGAAGTAAAACAAATGTTCTACAAAGTAAAACAATACTGCTGATTCATACTCGGTTTTGATGGTTTGATAGGGTGCAGAGTGAGATGAAAAGTTGTCAGTTTGCTTTAAAGACAGGCATTGAGTCTTAGAAACAAAACACTTCAAGTAGTAATAATGGTTTAAACATTTACTACAGGATATCTCTTGTATCTTCTCTACTTTCCCATTCTTCCATCACAATCAAAATCCAGAATTCCTTATTGTTTTCATTATTTTGCAGGGAGGAAGAACCACTTAGTCATAAAATATCTGTTTGTGGAATGATTTCTGTCTAATCTTTCTAGTTAAAAAAAACCTTAGCTAACGTATATAGACTAATATCTTGAGATCATGAACAGCTGCATTAATATGCAAGGTGTGTTTATGATTCTTGTGGTATATGAATGGAATCAGTAAAAATGCTAAGGTGAATCTGTTTAAAATACCTTCATATATTTATTAGATTTATATGCTGCCAATCTCACAGGTAAGGCAAGTCATAATATATATATTTCCAATGATTACCATTTGACTCTGGAATCATAATTTTCCATCAGTTAGGAATAATAGATTTATTGTCTTATATATTGTTTGATGCCATTGCTTATATGACGCAGCGGATATGTTGGTGGCAAACAGACCACAGATCTAAATAAAATTTAAGGCATCTTTATAGTAGATTAAACAATAATATTTCCACATGAAATCCATACTTTTCTGAAGCGAATGGGAATTGAATTGTGCATGTTTCTGTATTTTAATTTTCCTATCACTTACTGGTATATCTACTCCATACACATGACAGGTTCCTGTAAATGTTGAGCTGTATATGTGCAGTATTGTTACTGGTTTATTTTGTGCTTGAATTCTCCAACTTTTCTCCAAGAAAGCACACTATGTGTAATCTTTTTCCCCCTGAAAAAAAAAAAACAGCCCCAGGGAAGTGAAGCTAAAAAAAGTCATTGCCTGAAATTCATCCAATGAGCTTCCTGTCTTTAGAGGAACTGTTCTCTAGACTCCAGCTCACAAACTTTTGTTTATACACTTCTTGTAGGCTACTGATGAACTTTTGTGATGAAAAGTAGGCTACAAATGAAATAATGAAAGTCATAATAATATTCATTTCCTTGGTGATTTGTTAAAAAAAAATATCGCTTTATTGTTGAGCTTTAAATAGTTTCTAAAGACTCTTCATTCAGGAATTGTCTTACTTAGACTTAGACAATTCTGAGTCTAAGGCAATATTAGTTTCATGATTGTAAGGATGAATGAAGCTACAAATAGAGATTTCTTCACTGCAGTACACAGAAATCAAAGCCCTTGCATTTACGCGGGGAATCTTAAATTTTAAGATTTTTCTTTCACCTTTCCAGGACATTGGATAACAGTACTTGGTGGCTTTCTCGATGGTCTTGGAAGTCACCTGATTAGGGTTGACTTAATGGTTCATTTTATATAGATAGAGTGTTTGTGTGCTTGAGAATCTAAATGCTACTTGGATGGCTTTTTAGCCTAATTTCCCAGGGGCTTTTTTTCAGGGGGAAAAAAAGATCACACAATAATATGCTTTCTTGGAGGAAAGTTGGGGAATTCAAATCTAATGCCTGTACCTGAGATGCTGAGAACAGGATGTCAGCCAAAGGTCCTTCGCCCCTCCCCCCCTTTACATCCATCAGTTTGTATTTGGACTCATATTGTTCAGGTTTTCAAACTAGATTTATGTAGCTATTAGCCATGATAACTGTCCCTCAGGATATTTTCTATAAAGTACTGTTACAAGAGTTATGAAGCACACTGGCAGCCCTATAAAGAGCAGTGTTTTCCTCTAGAGACAATTATAATTGTTACTTCAGAGAAGGATGAACAGCAAAGAGAGAAAACAATATACAACCTAAATTGAAAGATCCTGAGGCATATACTTTGAATATATTTGCTGAAAAAAATCAGCCTGTCTTACTGCTAGGTTTAATATCATGGAGTGCTGCAGTTGCAGTGGTTGATACATTTGGAGTTTTTAGAAGTAGTTGACAGTTTATAGGAAATTACTTTAATAGGTACTTCAGGTCTCTTTTTATTCTGGCAGCATAAATTTTCCTGTTAATTGTTAATGCTTGCTGATTCTTAAATCAAGTTCAGGTCCCCAGTTTTAACAGAGTAAATATCGATTTACAAGGGTGCTACCGGAGATTGGCTACTCTGCAGTGATTTTATTTTTATGTATGCTTCAAAATATATTCTATTTAGAAATGGAAATGGCAACTGATCTATGAAAAAAAAAATATTGTGGATATTTTAGTCTGATCTGCTTCCAGTCTTTGAACCACCATAATTCTTAAGGGAAGTTCCGTCTGAATGAAATAATTCATTGTAACTTTTATTTAATCCTTGTTCTCCTGGTCTTTCATTTTGCTCTTACAACAATATCTGTAAATTATATATGTTTGAAGACTAAATACCTTATGTTCTTATGGATCTTCGGTATGTTATTCCAAATTGTAGTCTGAGTTTGTTTGAACCCTATAATCATTTTCTGGACTTGCCTGGACTGACTGATTTCAGTAGCAGTTATTCAACTACTATTTTGCAAAGATTCTTTAGACTTCCTTGGCAAAGTTTACATTTATTTGAGGGCATGGTTATTTCTATGTATAAATATAGGATGAAGTTTATTTCACACAATCGTTTTGTGGATTTGAGATGTTGTGAGTTCTTAAGAAGGTTCTGCAACAAGAAATTGGGGTCTCTGAAATCCGGACTCAATTTCACCACTAGCGTAATTCAGCTTAGCATGTGTTGTGGTCATGATGCCAAAGCATCCTTTTGCTGTACTTTGTAGCTGTTAAATATTTCAGAGTTTTTCTTGTGCCCATTTTTTGCACCCGCTGAAGATTTATAATTATGAAGTTCGACTTTG